CATGTTTATGGAATTGAAGCAGTTTAATATGGCTAGAGAGTAGAGTGATGGGGCAGTGGTAAGAGAGCAGGCTGCAAGGTAAATAAGGGCTAGTCAAATCTCCAAGAGCCTAATAAGAAATGTTAGAAGTTTGGAGTTTTTCCTGAGAGCCATGGGGAGCCATAAAATGATCACATTTGTATTTTAGAATGGTTGTCTTCAATTAAAAAAAAATTTGCTGGGCACAGTGGCTCATGCCTGTAATCTGAACACTTTGGGAGTCCGAGGCGGGTGGATCACTTGAAGTCAGGAGTTCTAGACCAGCTGGGCCAACGTGGCAAAGCCCTATCTCCACTAAAAATACAAAAAAATTAGCCAGACGTAGTGGTGCGCACATGTAATCCCAGCTACTCAGGAGGCTGAGGCAGGAGAATCGCTTGAACCCAGGAGGTGGAGGGTGCGGTGAGCCAAGTTTGCGCCATTGCACTCCAGCCTGGGTGACAAGAGCAAGATTCTGTCTCAAAATAAATAAATAAATAAATAATATTAGCCAGGTATGGGGGTGCACACCAGTAGTCCCAGCTACTTGGGAGGCTGAGGTAGGAGAATGACTTGAACTCAGGAGGCAGATGTTGCAGTAAGCTGAGATTGTGCCACTGCACTCTAGCCTAGGCAACAGAGTGAGATTCTGTCTCAAAAACAAACAAACAAACAAACAAAACTCATATACTGCCCTAAAATAATTTTGCAAAACTGTGTACCTCCTTCCACATCTTAACAACTAATATTTTTCATAAGTTTACAAGTTAATTTTTTGTTAATGGGAGGTTGAAAATATTAAACATTTTGAAAGATGAAATAAGGTAACCATGGATTATGCCTGAAATACATATTTTATGACATGATACATACATACCAAATCTGAAACATTGTATGAAATTTCTATCTGTGGGTTTTAGCAACTGTATTTTGAAAAAATGTATTGGTCCTAGAAAGCATACAATTGCATTTAAAGGACTCAACATCACTGTTCTATGTTGCCTAAGATTTTTGAATTCAAGGCAACCTTGTCCCTTAACAAAAATATTTATATGACAAGCAAAGAAGGAAGACTTTGTAGGTTTTTTTTTTTTTGAGACGGAGTCTTGCTCTGTGCCCCAGGCTGGAGTGCAGTGGCGCGATCTCGGCTCACTGCAAGCTCCGCCCCCCCGGGTTCACGCCATTCTCCTGCCTCAGCCTCCCGAGTAGCTGGGACTACAGGCGCCCACCACCTCGCCCGGCTAATTTTCTTGTATTTTTAGTAGAGACGGGGTTTCACCGTGTTAGCCAGGATGGTCTCGATCTCCTGACCTCGTGATCCGCCCGTCTCGGCCTCCCAAAGTGCTGGGATTACAGGCTTGAGCCACCGCGCCCGGCCGACTTTGTAGGTTTAAGCTGCCTCAATGTATCATTAAAAGAGACTTCCATTCAGCGGACATGGATCTTCAGGAACAACAGCAAAGAAAAGGTTTCCAGACTTCTGCTCCTGTCAAAGAAGAGGTAACAGGGACTGGATTTACCCTCCTGCCTGAAACAAACAAAAAAACTCAGACAAAATATATGAAACAGGGCCAGGCGCGGTGGCTCATGCCTGTAATTCCAGCACTTTGGAAGGCTGAGGCGGGCAGATCACTTGAGATCAAGAGATCGAGACCAGCCTGGCCAACACGGTGAAACGCGGTCTCTACTAGTAATACAAAAATTGGCTGGGTGTGGTGGCACACGCCTGTAATCTCAGCTACTTGGGAGACTGAGGCAGGAGAATTGCTTGAGCCCAGGAGGTGGAGGTTGCGGTAAGCCAAGATTGCACCATTGCACTTCAGCCTGGGCAATAAGAGTGAAACTCCATCTCAAACAAACAAACAAAATCAATCATTGTAATTTAACACATTCAAAACCTGAAAAAAGAAAAACTATATAGTTATTTGAATAGCCACAGAAAAAGCATTTGACAGCATCCACTCTTGACCAAAACTTTCAGCAAAAGAGGAACAGAAGGAAACTTCCTCAACTTGACAAAGGGCATCTATGAAAACCCACAGGTTATTTGTGAAAGACTGAATGTTTTCTCCCTAATAAGTGTCAACGAGTAGCCAGGCGTGATGGGGGGTACCTGTAATCCTAGCTACTCGGGAGGCTGAGGAAGGAGAATTGCTTGAACCCAGGAGGTGGAGGTTGCAATGAGCCGAGACTGCACCATTGCACTCCAGCCTGGGCAACAAGAGCGAAATTCTGTCTAAAAAAAAAAAAGAAAAGAAAAAGAAAAAGTAAGTGTCAATATGAAGTTTGGGAGATTGGGAGAGAAGTTTTGTTTTGACTTGTTGAGTTTGGGGCCTAACATGACATTGACAATCGAACTGAGGATGAACATAGTTATCTGGGTCTGGAGCACAGAAGAGAGCTGTTAAAACATAGAGCATATTAAGGGTATTTTAAAAACAAGTCTATATTTTGTTTATTTATTTATTTATTTATTTTATTTATTTATTTATTTTTTGAGATGGAGTCTTGCTCTGTCGCCCAGGCTGGAGTGCAGTGGCCGGATCTCTGCTCACTACAAGCTCCGCCTCCCGGGTTCCCGCCATTCTCCTGCCTCAGCCTCCCCAGTAGCTGGGACTACAGGCGCCCGCCACCTCGCCCGGCTAGTTTTTTGTATTTTTTAGTGGAGACGGGGTTTCACCATGTTAGCCCATGTTGGGATGGTCTCGATCTCCTGACCTCGTGATTCGCCCGTCTCGGCCTCCCAAAGTGCTGGGATTACAGGCTTGAGCCACCGCGCCCGGCCTATTTATTTATTTATTTTGAGATGGAGTTTCACTCTTGTTGCCTAGGCTGGAGTGCAGTGGCACCATCTTCGCTCACTGCAACCTCTGCCTCCCAGGTTCAAGCAATTCTCCTGCCTCAGCCTCCTGAGTAGCTGGATTACAGGTGTCCACCACCACACTTGGCTAATTTTTTGTATTTTTAAGTAGAGACGGGGTTTTACCATGTTGGCCAAGCTGGTCTCAAACTCTTGACCCCAGGCGATCCACCTGCCTTAGCCTCCCAAAGTGCTGATATTACAGGTGTGGGCCACCGCACCTGGCCAACAAGTCTATATTTTTAAACAAGTGCCCCAAGGAAGAGTAAGATGAGAGAAGGATTAGGAATAGAAATACTGAAGAAATCTAGACCTTAAAGCTCCTGAAGGACAGATACTGGAAAAGGAGCAAGCAAAGGCAACCAAGAGCAATCACAGCGATGAAAAGACAACTTTTTGGTGCATTTTAAAGAAAATCCAGTTTCAACAAAGAGGGATGGGTCAATAGAGTCAGAAGCTAAAGAAGAACTTAGGAATCAGGATCCTATATTGTGTGCATGCCAATATTCTTAGCCATTAAGGACAGTTAACCACTAGAATTTGTTTGTTTATTTTTTATTTTGAGACGGAGTTTCACTCTTGTCGCCCAGGCTGGCGTGCAAAGGCATGATCTTGGCTCACTGCAACCTCCCCCTCCCGGGTTCGAGCGATTCTCCTGCCTCAGCCTCCTGAGTAGCTGGAATTATAGGCACACACCACCACGCCTGGCTAATTTTTGTATTTTTAGTAGAGACGGGGTTTCATGATGTTGGCCAGAGTGGTCTGGAACTCTGACCTCAGGTAATCCACCCTCCTCGGCCTCCCATAAAGTGCTGGGATTACAGGTGTGAGCCACCTTGCCTAGCCTAGAATATATTTAAACTAAGCATTGTTTAAGATAGATGGGATTTAGCCAATCCTTAATGCCAGTATATCATATCACATTCCATTCCATTGGGGGTGGATGTTTATGTAAGTTGAGGCTCTCCTATTGGTTACTACACCCTTCTTTAGATTGTGCATGCAGACCTACCCAGAGAAGCCAGTATCCATGGCTTTGGAGAGTTCAAATATTCAATTTTCGGTTCATAAAAAGATAAGCAAAATACTTGAGTCTCAGGCCCACTAGGACCTTGGGCCTTTCGTTTTTGTAAATATTTCACTAATAAACTTGTCTACTCTTTCCCAGATTAGGGAGCCCTTACAATCTATACTGAGAGGCACATTATCTCACTACCTCTCAATTTCCTCATTTGTAAAAAGGATAAGAACATAAATCCTACCTCACTACTTTCACGGGACTGGTTAAAGTTAGTTTTCAAAGTGTTTTCTCACTTTGGCTCCTTAACACCCGAACTAGAGTCTGACACAAGAATGAACTGCAGTAGAATGTTGGTTGTATTATAATAACAATATTTGTGGAAAGGCTTTGTTAGCTGGAAGCCATCTCAAGTATTATTCTTTATACTCTAATCTCGATTTAGGCCTCTAGGTAACCAAATTCAATGTAACACCTCATCTTGATGGTCGCCAAGGGATAGGTGGAGGGACTGCAGCCCTTTCCCCACAAACAATTCCAATAAAAACATTGCTGTGCAAACAGAGCTTCACGACCAGTTCCCTGGGCCAGCTGCTCACCAGAATACCATTCCCAAACTCCCTTTTCTTTGGAAATACTGCGCCTGCTGTAGAACTTTTTGTGGGGAGCTGTATAACTTTTGAAGTATCTAAGTGATCAGTTCCTACAACGACGTCCTTGAGATATGGTCACGGAATTTTCCAAAGCAGCCTTGGCCTCCCTCATGTCCGACAACCTGAGATAAGGCCACGCCACCGGCTAAGAGTTCCGCCAGAGGCCCAGCTCTCAGGAGGCCTCCTTGGTGCCGCCAGTCTCCCGCAGTCGTCCAAGGTAGCAGGCAAATCGGGTAGAAGCAAACTGGCTCGGATTCGGCTTCGGTTTTTCTACCGGCCGGCGCCACAGGCCCCTCCTCCCGGGGCTGGCTCCTCGGTGCGAGGGCGGGAGGGGCGGAGCCGGTGGGTGCCGCGGGCTCCTCCTCCCAAGGGCGGGCCGCCGGAGATCCGGCCAGCTTTGCCGGCTGGGACGGGGCTGGGGGCGGGGCCGGACGCCGCGAGCCCCTCCTCTCGAGGGCCGGCCGGTTTGGCGGCGGCTGCGGAGGGTATCTTGAGGCTCGGCTGCCAAGCCGAACGAGCTCTGGCTCCTCCCAGTGGCCGGCCGGGGCGGAAGCAGGAGGCGGGGGCAGCGTGCGCGCTGCTGGTCTCCTCTCCCGCGGCGCTGGGGCCCGCGCTCTGCTGCTGTTGCTCCATTCGGCGCTTCTCTGGCGGCTGGCTCCTCTCTGCTGCCGGCTGCTCCTCGACCAGGCCTCCTTCTCAGCCTCGGCCCGCGGCGCCGACCCTTCCGGCACCCTCCCGCCCCGTCTCGTACTGTCGCCGTCACCGCCGCGGCCCCGGCCCTGGCCCCGATGGCTCTGTGCAACGGAGACTCCAAGGTCAGCGTGGGGGTCCCTGCAGCACCGCATCCCGGCGGAGGCGAGGCTCCCGGACCGGGGAGCCACCCCGCGGGGCCCTTCCCCACCCCTTCCCCCAGCCCGTCCGCGCAGCCCTGCGGCCCGGGCAGCCATGCGTCGGAGAGTCCCTGGTCGGGGCCTGTGGCATGTTTTTTCTCGGGAGCGGCAATGCTTTGTTGATTCTGTCTGCGTGTCGAGGTCCGGGCGTCGGGGAGGGCATCAGCTCCCGCGGCCGCGCCGATGGCCCCCGCCTCCCCCGCGCCGCTGTGGGGCGCAGAGCCCGCGAGCGCGGCCCGAGGGTGGGGGTAGGGAGGTGAGCAGGCTTGTGTGTCTGTGTGTCGTGGTGGGGGCTTCCTTGGCTCTCACCCCGTCCCTTTGGGAGGCTGGGGGCCTGTTGTGGCGATCCCGTGGCCCGCCGAAGGCAGGGCAGGGTCGAGGCCTCCTGTGCGGCGTTGGAGCTGGGCCGGCCTCTGGTCTTCCCGCCACCCGGTTTCCCGCCTGCCCTCGGCGAGGCCCGCTCCATTTCCCCCGCCGGCCTTGGGCTCCGTAGCGGTTAGGTCGGTTCTGGACGAACCCCGCGGGGCTGCACCGTCTTCCCCCTCCCCCCACGCCCCCGCAGGCCCGCGTGAGGGCCCGTGGCCCCGGGGTCGCGCACTCCGTTCCCCCTCCCCGCTTCCTTCCCAGAGAGGAAAGGGTGTGTGTCCAGGTCCCGCCCCCGTCCAGTTTACTCCCTGTCTAGCTGGCTGGTTTGCGGGGTAACCCGCTTCCCCGCCTTTGGGGTCGCTCCCCGGGATGCGAGCCGTGCCAGCTCGCCCGAGGGCTGGACAGTCGGGAGTTCCGGAGTGCTGGAAAAGTTGCCACCTTGACGTACCCGGCGGGGAGAGCACGTTTGACCGCTGCTGCGCATCTCCTCGCCTCCAACTCACTTTTTTCTTAGACCCTTTCTCGTACTTTCGTCCCGCTTCTGAATTGGGCACCTTCGCTTTCACCTCTCTATTACCATTTTCATTGGCCTGGAGTTCTTTCCGACCTTCACTAAGTCAGTTTTGCCTGCGGGAAACCGCGCAGTTTTGAACTGCGATTTACTTGAGTAAGATATATATACCTCCTCCTGTACGCTGTTGAGGGCCTAGCTTTAGGGAAAAACTTAATTAAATTTGATTCGGGAGGTGGGATTATATACTTCGAGTGGAATTTGGTGCTCTACGTCAGATAATAGTGCCTTATACAGGCAGAATTTTAACATTCTCTTTAAAAGGTGCTCAAGGGTCACGTCTTAGGAGGTACTCTTGAATGGTTGCTTAGCACCTGGTGGTAATTCAAAAAGTATTTGTTGAACAAATGAGTAAAGATTATAAGGTAGCTGATTTTAACTCTTTTAACCAAGGCACCAGTGGTGCTTGGGTCCGGGGAGCTCTTTCTGAGGGTTGTAAAACTGGTGAAGAACACACAAACCTTTAGTTTCTGACCGCAGAAGCAAATGTAAACCTCATTGTTCAGCTCTTTTCCTGCCTACTAGTTGACTTGCAAAGCATTTTTCTGTCTAGTTTTGAGCCTTACAACTCGTTGGAAAGATTCATCTTTATGCTGATAGATGAAATAACGTGTTAGAAGGACTGAAAATTTATGGGCTTTGAAAGATACATAGTGCGTTTGAGAGGAGTATTTTCACAAAACTAAGTGACAGGAAAGTGTTAAGATCTCTTTCCAGAGTATATAAGAGGATTTTTCTTCTTCCTAACTGGTATTTTTTGTTTTGCTCGACTTGGAATTACAAAGATAATCTTATCCGTTTGCTATATTTGAGCCTAAGGTGAATTAATTTTATTTCAAGGTTCTTTATGTTTTGTAGCATAATTAAACATTTTAAAAACTATGTGAACGATTAGTTGTGGGTTGAATTGGAAGCATTTTCGGTTTTTTTTTTTTTTTTTTTTTTGAGACAGAGTCTCGCTCTGCACCCAGGCTGGAGTGCAGGCCTGGATCCTCAGCTCACTGCAAGCTACGCTCCCGGGTTTCACGCCATTCTCCTGCCTCAGCCTCTCCCGAGTAACTGGGACTACAGGCGCCTGCAACCGTTCGCCCGGCTAAGTTTTTGTATGTTTTAGGTAGAGAGGGGTTCCAACGTGTTTTAGCGCAGGTTGGTCTCGACTCCTTGACCTCCGTGATCCGCCCGTCTTCCGTCCTCCCCAAAGTGCTGGGATACAGCTTGAGCACCGCGCGCCCGGCCATTGCGAAGCATTTTCAAGAGGAAACATTGGAGAATTAACATTATTTCGAATCAAATCTATGATCATTGTATGGGTACCCGAGATAAAAAAAGTCCTGACAAACCATACATTGCATTGATCATAAAACATTATAAGTAAAGAGATATGTAAATTAATCCGGAAATACCTATATCAACCTACTATGATTATGGCCGTATTCTCTAAGAGGCCCACCTGAAATAAGTAGGAGTTCTTATTTGTTGCATAGCCCACATTGAACCACCTTCCCTTGGGAGAAGGGCCTTGCTTTTGTAATTGATTGGGCCTTTTGCTGAGTGTGGTATCTTAGTTCATAAAATTAAAAGTTGGCAAGAGCTGGTTTTGGATTCTGTTCTGGTACAATTTCCAGTTATCAGGATTTCTGAAAACAGCATTTTGCATGATAGAAACCAGAGAGGGACCTAAAAGCTCTAAAAGCATTGGGATATGTTGAGATTATGTGGGTATGAGCACAGTACTTCATTTAATTTTTTTTTTTTTTTTTTTTTTTTCTTGAGGGCAGCAGTTCTCGCTCTGGTCGCCCAGTCTGGGAGTGCAGTGCGCGATCTCGGGTCACTGCCAAGCTCCGCCTCCCGGGGTTCCCGCCATCTCCTGACCTTCAAGCTTCCCGAGTAGCTGCGGACTTACAGGCGCCCGCCACCTCGCCCGGCTAGTTTTTTTTTTTTGTATTTTTAGTAGAGACGGGCGGTTTCATTGTTGTAGCAGGATGGGGTCTCGATCTCCTGACCTCGTGATCGCCCGTCACGGGCCTCCCAAGAGCTGCTGGGATTTACAGGCTGTTGAGGCCACCGCGCCGGCCCCTTAATTTTTAATTTATATATTTTTTGAGACAGGATCTTGCTCTGTCACCCAAGCTGGAGTGTAGTGGTGTGATCACAGCTCACTGCTGCCTTGACCTCGTTAGCCTCATGAGTAGTTGGGAGTACAGGCATGGGTCACCCCGCCCTGCTAATTTTTATTTTTTTTGTAGAGACAGGTCTTGCTATGTTGCTCAGGCTGGTCTGGAACTCCTGGGCTCAAGCGATCCTCCCACTTTAGCGTCCCGAAGTGCAGGGACTACAGTAGTGAGCCACTGTGCCTGGCCAGGATTTTATTTATTTAAATTTTTTATTTCCATATGTTATTGGGGAACAGGTGTCATTTAGTTACATGAGTAAGTTTTTTTTTTTTTTTTGAGACGGAGTCTTGCTCTGTCGCCCAGGCTGGAGTGCAGTGGCAAGATCTTGGCTCACCGCAAGCTCCGCCTCCCGGGTTCACGCCATTCTCCTGCCTCAGCCTCCCAAGTAGCTGGGACTACAGGTGCCTGCCACCTGTAGCTAATTTTTTTTGTATTTCTAGTAGAGACAGGGTTTCACCGTGTTAGCCAGGATGGTCTCGATCTCCTGACCTCGTGATCCGCCCGCCTCAGCCTCCCGAAGTGCTGGGATTTACAGGCGTGAGCCACCATGCCCGGCCATGAGTAAGTTATTTAGTGGTGATTTGTGACATTTTGGTGCACCCATCACCCAAGCAGCATACACGGCACCCAATTTGTAGTCTTTTATCCCTCACCCGCTTCCCACGCTTTGCCCCTGAGTCTCCAAAGTCCATTGTGTCATTCTTACACCTTTGCATCCTCACAGCATAGGTGATCAGCTTTTCTTTAAAAACTTTTTATTATGGCAAGGGTGTATTTGACATAGTAACTTTCTTGAGTTTTATTAAGGCAGCATTATCAGAGTAGTGCTTTGGGTGACTTGTCAAGTTTCCTTCTCCTTTCCCCCATCTAAGGGTGAGACTCTTGTTTGTAGTGAAGGTGGTACCTGTCCTATCACCTTCATTGAGAGGTTATGACTAGGTTATATCATACTTGGATGAAAGATGTTTTATAAACACTCCCTTAGTGATTACAGGTAATACAGAATCTTTAATGGCATTTAATAATGTTAATTTTGGCCGGGCACGGTGGCTCACGCCTGTAATCCCAGCACTTTGGGAGGCCGAGGCAGGTGGATCACCTGAGGTCGGGCGTTCAAGACCAGCCTGACCAACATGGAGAAACCCCGTCTCTACTAAAAATACAAAACTAGCCGGGGTGGTGGCACATGCCTATAATCCCAGCTACTCGGGAGACTGAGGCAGGAGAATTGCTTGAACCCGGGAGGCGGAGGTTGCGGTGAGCCGAGATCGCGCCATTGCACTCCAGCCTTGGCAAAAAGCGAAACTCTGTCTCAAAAATAAATAAATAAATAAATAAAATAATAATGTTAATTTTAAGTTTGGGATTTCCAAATTTAAGATTTTGAATGCAATGGGAATATAACCTGCGATTTTTATCCAGGATGCACTGAGAATTAAACAACTGTATCAACTTTTGTCACAACTTAGTAAATTTTTTTCTTAGATAAAAGTTAGATTTTTCAGATTTTATTCCGTTAGGATATTCATTTAGAGTGGAAGAACTGCTGCAGACAAAAGGAATGGTTTTTAGTGTAGTATGTTCTTAGACTTGAAAGGTTTTGAAATTCCTCCAGGAATCTCAGATGACATTGCCTTTAGCGTGGGCCAACTTGTCACTTAAGGAAAACAATTCAATCTTTTAAGAATTTTTACAAAAAGTATAGACTTGTCCTATACTTGTACAAATGTATTTGATACTTTTTTTTTTTTTTTTTTTTTGAGTGGGAGTCTAGCTCTGTCGCCCAGGCTGGAGTGCAGTGGCCGTATCTCAGC